AAGATAAAATAACATTATAAATAATCTATAATTTGTTACAATTTAAAATATCTAGTACTATATAATTTTCTATTAAGAAAAATCTAATTTTACTTTTTTATAATAATATTAAAATTAATAAATTGAAAACCATTTTTAATAAATAGCCTTAAATAAGTTATATGAATTTTTATATTATAATTATTTATTATTATTAAGTTATTATAAATAAAGTAAATATTATATTTTAACATTTATTATAAAAAAAATGAAGTTTGGATTTTGCTAAAATATTAATCTGTAAATATAAAACTTTAATTAGTATTAATATAAATAGAATTTGAATTTATTAATAAAAATAAATTTTAATGAATCTTTATAATTAATATTTTAAATAATATTATAAATAATTAATAATTAATATGATATAAAATGATTAAATAAGTTTAATTTAAAAAATGTTTTAAAATTATATAATAAATATATTTAAAATGAATAATATTTATTAAAATTTATTAAATTAAATTTAATTTAATTTTATCAACTTTAAAAATTTATTAAATAATTTTTTCTTTATATCAAAAGTTTATAATTTGAATAATTTTTTTAAATAGTTCTAAAAAAGTAGAATATTTTTTAAAAATTTATATAAAGATATTAATTATAAACAAAAAGTTTTAATTACAAATATATTAAAATTTAAAACTATTTAGATATATATTTTTATTTTAATTAGTTTATTTATATATTAATAAATAAATATAATTTTTTTTATTAATAATATAACAAATATATTAATTTAATATTCATTATTTTTAAATGATTTACATTTTATTTTATATATATTTTAATAATATTCTTAAATAAATTATTTAAATCTAACACTAGTCAAAATCAAAAAAATCATTATTTATCATTTATAGGACAATTCAGACTAAATTCAGAAATCACTAAAAAGCAGTCATCATATTTATAACCAATTTATATAAATCAGAAATCAGATAAATCATCTATTTAACAATTTTGGTAGTTTTATTATTAATAAATAAAATATAATTCATAACAAAATAAACAATTTTATCATTAATAAACTTACAAAATAATAATTCAGAAATAATATAAACAGTTTTATTATAAATAAATAATCATATTTGATATTTTCTATTAATTAGATTAATTATTAAATATTATTTACATTTTATCTAATTGAAATCTTATAATTTATTAATAAGAATCATCCTAAAATATGATATACCAAAATTAAACAATCATGACTTTCAGAATAAAAATCAGTATTTTATAATTCAATATTATATGTTTTTATATTGTTAAAATGAATGAATTGAATATTTAAATATTCATGAGTTGATATCAGCAAATACATGCTAAAAATGTTCAGTTAGTTCATATGGTAAATTGAATATATGAGTAAAATAGTTTTGAATTTAACCTGAATAACATTTAATAATATTATTTGTAATAAATTTGATCAAAATGTATGAATTTTCATATGTTATAAGGATATTGTTAAACTAAATATTTTAGAACTAATTCAACATTTTTAACATCTTTCAATTGCTTCAATTTGATCAGAATTATTATAACATTCTTTAAATTATTACTAAATAACCTTTGAAATTAAAATTTTATAAGTTACTATATAATATTTTATAATTAAATCTAACATTTCATTTGAAATAATTATATTATTAGATAACAGTATAAGAAATTCTTTTAGAAATTTTTCATTACCAGTAACATGTGATTGCTTAATATTTTGATTATTTTTTTTAATAATAAAATTCATTTTTAAATAAAAGCAGAATTTATTATTAAAAATAAATTATAATAATAAATTTATTATAACAGTTAAAAGTAATATTTATTATTAAAAAAATAAAGTTGTAATATTTATTTAATAATAAATTCATCCTGTAAACAGAAGCATCTTTTTTTTTGATCCATCAAATTCAAATTCAGATTTGTTAAATTTGAATCAAATCAAATTCAGATTTTTCAAATTTAAATTAGATCAGATTTTGTTTAAATTTAATCTCATTTAATTCGTATAAAATACTATATAACAATATTAGGCAAAATTAAATAATTTTAAACAGGTTTTAAACACTATTTAATATGTTCAAAACCTTATCCAAAATTTAAAAAATATGTCAAAATTTATTATTACTATATAGAAATATATATAGGTTAAAAAAATATTTTTTTTAAAATTTTCTAATATATATTTGAAATTTTTTCTATATTTTAATGTTTTTAATAATGTTGTTATTCTAAATACTAAAAATAATTTTAGACAAAAGTATTTCAGTAATTTTAACTATTAACTAAACTAGTTTTGATACTTAATAAAACTAGTCTAAACTACAGAATTTTAGTTTTGAATAATAATATTAGTTTTTAAGATATTTTTAATATATTTTATGTAGTTTATTTAGGATTTGCATTTCAAATTTTTACTGAATATTTTCTAGATTTTAAAGTTTAAAATAAATAAAAAATTATGTTTCTGACATTTAAGATTAATAAGTTATCTTTAAAATCTAATTTTATATGATATTATATAAAAGATTGTTCAATTAATTTTAATAATATTAAAAGAAAAAATAATGATCTATATAATTTTTTAAAAATAATAAAAAATTTAATATTATAATTAATATTAAATAAAATCATTTTCAAAAGATATTAAATTTTAAAATTATCTATATTTTTTATTTTTATTTAAAAGATATATTATTTTTGTTAATTATAGATTTAAAATCCTTAATTAAAAATTTAATTAGAAATAAATTTTTCAAATTTATATAATGACTTTAATATCAAATTTTCAGATATTAAAACTAATTATTATTATTAAAAGTTTATATAAATTTAAGTTTAATAAATAAAAATGATAAAATAAATTTATTATAGTAAAATATTATTGATACACATAAAATAGAAATTATAATAGAAATAAAATATAGATATGTAATTAATAAGATTTACATTTTAACTTTCAATTTTAAAAAATAGATTTTCTATCATATATTATAAAAAAAAAATATTTTATAATAATATTTAAATTTAAAATTTAAAATAAAATAAAATAATTATTTAAAAAATATATAAAAATTTTTAAAATATAAATATTATAATGATATATTACAATTATTAATCAAATTAAGATTAAAAAAGATCATAAAAATATATTATTCTTTTTACTTTTTACAAATTTAAATATCTTAAATAATAACTCATTACTATTATAAAAATTCAACAAAGTTTGCTATCTCTATAAAGAGTTACAATAGTTAATGAATAATTACAAATATGATATATTAATTATAATTTTAATAATCTGATGAATTTTTATTAATAATTTTAATTAGCAATCTATATAAACTGATCTGAGATTTGGAAGATCAAATTAATTACTGAACAAGTTGATCATAAAACAAATCATCCTTCAGTTAGAGTGATTACTGATTAAAATAACTTTTAGTCAACTTATTTTTTAAGCAAGTTGTTTTTTTAAATTTAATGTATAAAAGGCAGAATTGATACTTACGTTAAAATAGTACTAATTTATTAATTTTTATTAAATAATTTTTATATAATTATTACTCAATTAAAAATTTCTTCTACTAATTTATATTCATTTATAAATATATACTCTAAAAACTGAATGCAAAGTAATATTCAAAATCAATGCTTATAAATTATCTTATATTTGACAAAAAGTAAACATATTTTTAAAATTTGTTACAAATTATTATAATTAATATTAATTTTTTGCATTTAATAAATTACTTTTAAATTTAATGCAATTTTTATTAATAAAACTACATTTTTTAAATTTAATACAATTATTATAATATCTTGTGAATTATTATTTTTAATCTTAAATTAATTGATCAACTTAGTAAAATTAAAAACTTAATCTGATTGATATCAAATTAATATTTTGTTAATCTGATTCAAAATTTTCAAGATTAATCTAATAGATTACCATTTTAATGTTAATTTGATTCAAAATTTACAGATCAATCTGATAGGTTACCTATTTTAACTTGCTATTTAAAGCTTTAGTTAATATTATTTATATTATAAGATATGATCATATTAAATTTTCAAATATAAAAAAGATATATAAGATTAGATCAATCATTAATTGTAAATATTCTTTTAATTTGCAATTTGATAATTGAAACTATTGTAAACTATATAATTTAATAATGTTTTTGACCTTTTATTATTAATAATATATTTTTTTAATTATACAAGAATAAGATAAATAATTCAAAATTATATATATTGAAATTTTTAGAGATTGTTTTTCTAATTATAAGAATCATTATTCAAATATTTTATTTGAACTATATTATAATCTTATATATCAAAAAAATGGAAAAATGTTTTCAACAATAGTATTAATAAAAATGTATATAAATAATATTTATTTATGTAAAAAGGAATTATGCAAAAAATTGGTAAAAGGAGTTGTTAGATCATATATAAGTATAAATCAATTAATCAATTATAAAGATATAATCATGCAAATTTATAAATAACAAATAAGAGGTAAAAATAATGTTAGGATCAGAATTTTCTTTCTCTTGAAATTTAGTTTCAATATGTAATATATAATGTTAATGATAATATAATAATTAAATATATTATTTATTTAAAAGGTATATCACATAAATGAATGACGGGGGTAGAATATCACTGACGTAATTTCTGCCCTCCCCTTAGCTATAAATAAAATTGGGTAATGAAAATAGCGGAAAAATACCATGCGATTACTCTCTCCTATTACGTATTGATGCAACCATTACAACCTTAAAAGCTGTATCAGTATCACAACATTATATTCTCCTCAAAGTCTTAATAAACTACCAGATTTGGTAACAAACAATCAGGAGAATGTAGGGGAATGGTATAAAACTACGAACCATCTTATTTTCTTGCATAATTATACATTTTTTTCGTTTTTTTTTTTTTTTAAATTATATTTAATGTCTTCCAAAGTTCGTCCAATTATTCCACCAAAGCCAGCAAGGCTTTCTATAAGTTCACAAAAACGAGATACTACTTATTCAACGAATTCAACAAGTTCAACAAAACGGGATACTTCTTATTCAATGGACTCAACACATTCAACTTCTACAACTTATTCGCAAGAGCAATTGACAGAGTCACCCCCAGCTTCGCCAGTAACACCCAACGGGAACCTTGAAGAAACTGTAAATGATAGAACTCCAAGAGCTTCTGAAGTTTTTCCCCCGCCGCCAACTGGTCGTCAGGCTAGAGCTTTATATGACTTTGAGGGTGAAGCCTCTTATCGAGAACTGTCTTTTAAAGCTGGTGACGTTCTTAATGTTATAAAAGAACGCCTTGCTGAAGGATGGTCGTTGGCTGAAAGGAATGGTATAACAGGACTTGTTCCTGAAGCTTATATAACAGTAAGTCTTGCTTGTTCGATTCGTTTGTTTCTTGATATTATGAGAGAGATATATTTTTTATTTACTATTACTTAATTTATTTATAGTATACTACTGAATTCACTGGACTTCCTAATGCAACGCTTTCCCCTACTTGTTCTTACATATCTGAAGATTCCGTAACTTCATCTACTGCATTGTCATCTAATGGTCTTCGTAGCAGTACTATGTTGGGCAGAAGACAATTGAATCGATTTAGCTGGTTTGTCACTACGGGTGTTGAGGAATTTATTTTAAATGGTGGAGAGCTAATAGATAATATTAGTCCTGCCCATGGATTGAAAGAAGGTAGCGAAGATGATGAAATTACAGAATCAGATAAACATTTTATTCAGGTAGGAAACTATTACATACGTTAAGATGATCATTAATTTTAGTTATAACTAATCAACTTACCAATCTCTATTTGTTTTTTCAGAGTGGTCCAAGTTGGCAAGAGAAAGCACCTATTTTCAAAGTCTTAATCCATCATCCAGAGAAGCGAGTAAAGCTCGGTGGCGTATCCGAGTACACAATATTTCACGTCACATCATCGGTAAATCTCCCTCTTTTTTATATATATATATTTCTTCCTCATATATTGATTAAAATCTTTGTACATAACTTTTTAGTTTGCGAACGGCGTTCAAGTTACTGTTGAAAGAAGATTCAGTCACTTCGAATGGCTATATAACTGCTTATCTGCTAAATTCGGTGCGCTTATCATTCCATCCCTACCAGAAAAACAATATTCTGGACGTTTCAAAGAGGGATTTATAGAAAAACGTCGTCGTGCGTTGGAGAGATTTATCAATCGTCTGGCTCGTCACCCCGTTATTCGATATTCAGATTTATTAACTCATTTCTTGAGTTGTGAAGACGAATCGGTACGTATTAATATAGATAAACTTTTTTCTAGTGTAACGGGCAACTTTATTGATATGATCATCTTTGCTGATCAATTTTGTCAACTTTATTTCCTTGACGATGTCATTTATTTTT